CGCCTTTCGTGAAGACAAGGCCAGATGACACTTTTCACATTCAAGTTTTTAACCAATTAAACAATAAGAATTAAGTCTGAAACGTAATAAATAATCCCAAAGTAAGAGTGAACATTACAGTTGCGGAATAAAACCCAACACAGCCCGATATCGGGGTATCACCAGTCATGAACATCTATCAATATACTACAAGTCTGAAGTGTCTACAAAGCTATTACAGAATCACTAACAAGAAAAAGGAAATGTGATAAAGGGGAAGAAGCACGGGGTTGCGGACGCCAACCAGCTACCTCGTGAACTCCGAAATCTGCCGGGAGCTCTCAACCCTCGCAAGCAGGATCAATAGCGCCTGAATCTGCACACGGGGTGCAAAGAGTAAAGTGAGTACTCCAACTCAGTGAGTAATAATCATAAATAAAGACTGAGAAGTATGAAATCACGTAAGGCACATTACATGCTATAATGAAGCAGTAAAAGCCAGTAAAAATAGTGAATCGGTGAAGATATGTAAAGTCATTATAGTTCAAATTAAACTTCATGAAATGCCTTTTTGTAACAATTAAGCAGGTAAATGACATGCTACTAGGAAATATAAACACATAAAGGAACGCCCCTCGGGCAATATCATAGAACAACACCAGCCCCTCGGGCTATATCTCACATCACAATGGGTACCCGTGCTCACTGGAGGTGTGCAGACTCCTAGAAGGGCCCCTTACGGCCCAAGCGCAATATCAAGCCATCTCGTAGCATAATCACATAGGCTCTCGGCCTCATATCGACAAGCCACCTCGTGGCATACAATCTCAGGCCCTCAGCCTCATAATCATAGTCAGTGTTTCCTCACAACATAGGCCCTCGGCCTTACTCAGTCAGAAACTTACAAGCCACTCGGGCAATAGTAAAACATGATGCTCAGCCCAAAATATCATTTAAAATATTATTTAATTGTTAAAGCAGAGTAAACATGGCTGAGTTATGAAAACAGTAGAATATAACATGATTGAGTTCAAGTATAAAGTCAAATAGTGAGGAAATATCAGTAAAAATCCCCTAAGGGTTCAAATAGTTGGCACGAAGCCCAAATATGGCATTCAACCCAAAACATGATGATAGCAAATAGTTTTCAGTCAAATACGTGGTAAAAGAATCATTCGGGATGGACTAAGTCACAATCCCCAACAGTGCACGACCCTACGCTCGTCATCTAGCGTGTGCATCACCACAATATAGCACAACGATGTGCAATCCGGGGTTTCATACCCTCAGGACAATATTTACAATCATTACTCACCTCAATCCGGTCCAAACTCTAGGTCGCGGCACCTTTGCCCCTCGAATCGGCCTCCATTCGCATCGAATCTATCAAAAATCAGAATCACGACGTCAAAATATGCTAAGGGAACGAAGCCCAAGCAAAAATAATCAATTTATAGCATAAATTCCGAAATTACCAAAACCCGACCCCCCGGGCCCACGTCTCGAAATTTGATAAATTTTACATTAATAGATTCTTTATCTTCCCACGAGTTCATACATATCAAAAGTACCAAAATCCGACCACAAATGGTCCCTCAAATCCGCAAGTCTAGGTCTCCAATACCAAGCCCTAGTTTTTCCCAATTTTAACCCTTAATTCCATTAATTATAGTTCTAATCCGTGAAATAATACCATAGAAATGAGTTTTAGGTCCAAAATCCTTACCTCAATGAAGTCCCCTTGAATTCCTTCTTCAAAATCGCCTAAAAAGCTCCAAAGCCGACTTAGAAATGGTGGAATAGCTCAAAAATCGCGAAGTAAACAATTTATATGTTCTCGCCTAGGGATTTCGCATCTGCGGGCCAATTCCCGCTTATGCGGTACCACTTCTACAGTACCTCTTCTACGGTCAAGACCACCGCATCTGCGGTCCTCACTTAAGTCCTCATTTTCGCATTTGCAATTTACTATCCGCACCTGCGCCATCGCAGGTGCGGTTCTTCAACCGCTTCTGCGGTTTCTGCCTCCCTTACCTTCTTCCACTTCTGTGGCCCTTTTCCTTGCATATGTGGCATCGCACCTGCGGTTCCCAATCTGCAGGTGCGGAAACAATAGAAGAGAAAATCTACAACTTCACCAAAAATTCCAAACTCTTTGTCAACCATCCGAAATCACCCCGAGGCCCCCGGGACCTTAACTAAATGCACAAACATATCCCATAACCTTATTCAAACTTATACCAATCTTCAAAACACCTCAAACAATATCGCATCAACCAAAACACATCGGATTCAAGCCTAAGTTTCCAAAATCTTCCAAATTCCACTTTTGATCAAAAATTCAACCAAACCAAGTCCGAATGCCCTAAAATTTTGCACACGCATCCCAAATGACACAACAGAACTACTGCAACTCTCGGAATTCCATTCCAACCCCTATATCAAAATCTCACCTATCAATTGGAAAATGCAAAAAATCCAATTTCGCCAATTCAAGCCTAAATCTACTCAGAACCTCTAAAATTCATTCCGATCACGCTCCTAAGTCCCAAATCACCTCCCGAAGCTATCCGAACCATCGGAACTAACATCCAAGCCCTCTAACACATAAGTCAACCTCCTGTTGACTTTTCCAACTTAAGCTTCCTCAATAGAGACTAAGTATCTCAAACCTTACCAAATCCTTTCTGAACCCGAGCCAACCAACCCGATCACATATAGAACTGATAGACAAAGCAATAAGAAGCAGAAATGGGGAAAATAGAGTGGTAACTCATGGGACGACTGCCCGGGTCGTCACAAATAAAAAAATATTTAAAAAACATAAATATATTATATTTATGACCTGATGCTGACATGGTGCTGACATGACACGCGCGTTTGAAGCACCTCATATCATGAAAGTGGTATTATGCTTCACATGGTGGTATTAAATTCACTTTGGACAAGTGTATATGAAGGTAATGAGAGGTTCGTAAAAGGTCATGCCAAGTATAGTTACTTGTAAGACACTTAGCCAATGAAATTTGCCACATATATAACACTTAACTAAAGAAGCTCAACAGATATCCATAGTTTTTGACATTGCTAAACACTCGTAATTGGCTTGCCCTTTCACTATTAGAATTTATATAAACATCCACGTGAAAATTTTACAATACTTAGTCTTTTTTAAAAACCTATTCGTCAGTAAACCTCGCTCAAAGTTATTAACTTTTGTATTTAATTTCTTAACTTTTTGTTTATTTCAGCTTATAGGTCATGTATAGTTATTTATGATTTTATTCAAATTTTTCTAATACTCTTTCAATGCTAAATGATTCTAATAAATAAGAATAATATAAAAGAAAATAACTTGAGGGTATCAAAGCCAATAAGTAAGTAGATCAATTTATGATAACTTAACTTTTCAACATGCTAGGTTAGAGTAAATTTTTAGGTGGTCACCCAAGCTGTAGGGATATCCTGTCAAAGTCACTTTTGTTTTATTTAGGACAACAAAATCACCCACAAATTACCTTTTGAGTAAAAAAAAACACTTATTTAATATACCATGTCATATTAAAAATCTATTTTTAATTATAAAATCTATTTAACTCGTGGCCCAAGTACTCATCTACCCACCCAATAAATAAATGGGCCTATCTTAAAAGTTCCTAGTCTATTCACATTCCCTCATATTCCATCTAGAAATTATAGGTGATGAAACATGAAATTTTAAGGTTCTAAAGTAGCGTCCAAATATAAACCATTTAAAGAATAAAATGTACTTTTTCAATTTTCAAGAAGTAATTTAATAGATTTGCAGGGAAAATTATCTACTTATGCGCTATATACCTTTGATATCGACCAAATAAACCACCACGAGGTAAAATTCAAAGGTCTTTTAGTTTTTTTGGTCTTTTAAGTGTTGAAGATAAATAATTTCAAATACAAAACAAAATATTGAAATAAATTTCATAAAAGTTGAGTTTTTTATGATTTGAATAAGGTTTTCCTATTTGTGTTTATGATTTATGTAATTGTAAAGATAATTTAATCTCTTCGTGCATGTTGTGTTTTTTGTATATCTTCTTCTATTTATTTTGCCGATCAAAATCTCTGTTGTGGTATCTCTTTTATTAAAAAGTTGAGTTTTTTGGAATACGTTTTTAGATCTTTCGGATCACAAAATATGAAAAATTAGGCAAACATACTGAAACGATCCGATTTGCAAAATTGAAAATCAAAATACTGTACTGAGAAACTAAAAAATTGAATCAGATTAGCCAATGCTCACCCAAAATATTGTACTGAGAAACTTAAAATTGAACCAATCTAACCAATGCAACATTCTTCCTATGCCACTTCCCTCTTTTTCTATTTCTTTTTCCTTTTTTTTTACTCCAAACAGAGGAAAAACTATCTTATCGGCCAGTACATTTTAGTGTCAACCCCTTATCCTTAAACCTTAGAAAGCATTCCTCAAACTATTAAACCAAGAAATTCTTCTTTATTTTCAAGCATGGGAGACATCCAAATAATATTTTTTTCATCTGTCTATTGTAGGAGTATTCAAATGCAGCAATGTTGCAATTTGATCTCTTCGTACATGTATTTTTTTTATATTTGCTTATATTTATTCTGCCGATCAAAGGCTTCGTTGTGGTAACTCTTTTTATTCAAAGAATTTCAGTACAAATTGCATCGAGAAAGGCTCTTTGGAATTCTTTTTTAGAGTTTTGGGATCACAAAACATATGAAATTAGGTCAACATACTGAAACGACCTGAATTGCAAAATTAAAAATCAAACTTAGGGTGTTCATTTATATCAAACCAGTAGTGAAGTCAGTAATTTCATTTAGGGTGTTCAAACTTGAAATAAGTAAAGAAAATCTTCGATAAAGGGTGTTAAATATACGTTATATACCATTAAAATCTAATATTTTACCTATACATACAATGTAATTTATCGACGAAGGGTGGTCAACTAACCACCCTTAGGTGGGGAACTACTAGCAGATGTAGTGGATCCGAACAGGTGGTACCAAAACCGGACGAATATCCAAATAAGTTTGAAGTGGTACCCGAACCGGAAGAAGATCCGAATAAGCCGGGTGTGGGACTGGAACAAGAAGAAAAGCCAAACGACGCTATAGAAGCACCGGTAGAAGAAGAGTTGAAACCAGTGAAAGAAAAGGAAGGACCGGAAGAGGCTGAAGAAGCAAAATAGCCAAATCCAAAAGGAGCAGACGTGGCGGGTCTAGGGTTAGGGTTTGAGAAGTAAAATGGGGAAGAACCGGTAGCAACAGCGGTGGTAGACGTGGAGGAAAAAGACGAGTTTGAAGGTAAGGAGAAGGGCGAAGAAGAGGAGGAGAATAAAAAGCCTGTGGACATTGTTATCGGATTCGGAGCTACGGTGGCGCAAGTATCCTACTTCTTCCCAGTTCAAAATGTGAGGGCACTAGCATAAAATTAACATTAACAATATAGTGTTTTAATACCCGGGCATAAAATTCAATGCAATATTAGGTTGTTTTTCCACATGAAAATCATACAACAAAGCAAAAATCTAAAATGACTATGTACCTTCGCCCCTAAATCAAACTAGCTAATGCCCACCCAAAATATTGTATGTCACGACCCCAAACTCAACCCGTCGTGATGGCGCCTAACATGGAACTAGTCCAGCCTCAAACCAACTCTATCCAATACCACAGTGTAAATATTAAAAATTATTTGTGGAAAACTTTCATCATTTTTAAAGCAAATCGTTTAAGACAGAAAAGATTTATATTACGATACAATCGTCCCAAAACCATGGTGTCACTGAGATCATGAGCATCTAAGGTGAATACATAATCTATCAAAGTGTCTAAGAACCAACAAAAAAAATACAACTGGAAATGAGAAGGAGAGCCAAGGCCTGCGAACGCCATGCAGATACCTCAGCAACTCCACAGCCTGTGACCTCGATCAACGGCTGCTACTTGGACCATAGATACCTGGATCTGTACACAAGATGCAAGGCATAACGTGATTACACTTACTCAGTAAGTAACAAGCCCAAACTATGGACTGAGAAGTAGTGACGAACTAAACCTCTTCATAATATAAGCATGAAATATCGTACAGAATAGTAGACATGCTTTCAGTTAATTAAATAGCTCATAGTAGGGAAATAGAGCAAGTATGAACATGATAAAGGAGTATACTTCGCTACAACTACATGCCAATGCACGTACTGTATGAAATTCACTATGCCAAGTACCTCATGTGCCCAATAACTCAATGCTCGTCCACTCAGTATTGTATATGGCTTGTACGACCCCGGGAAGATCCATTCCTCGTATATATATATATATATATATCTGATAGTAGTCACTCAGTACTGAGGAAGGCCAATCCAGCCTTCGGAAAAGATTCATCTCCTAGTAATAACAATGATAACCTTACAACCACTTGGTACCGTATATGGCTCACAAGGCCCAGGGAAAATCCATCCCGGAATACATATATATATCATAGACTATTAGTCTCCAATACCGAGGAACAAGCCAATCCAGCCTCATGGATAAGATCCATCTCCATACCAATACTTCGTACAAGATCCATATCCAGGGAAGATCCATCCCTCAATATCATCAACTGTGCTCACTGGGGGCGTAAAGACTCTGGATGGGCTTCTTTGAGCCCAAACGCTATATCAATACCAGTGAAGGCATGACCAATATCTCGTTGCGGCGTGCAGCTCGACCCCATACTGTCAATCAATATGAGGCTATCGGCCTCACTCAGTCAATACTCTCCAGTCTCACACACAGGCTAAAAATGTCATGATACAAGCCCGAACAATGATATGACATGTCAAATAGCAATAATTGAGAGTGAGGCATGATATAATATACATGAACAGGACTGAGTATAGATTATAAATGAAGCTAATGACATGACAACAAGAAACGACCTCTCGGGTCTCAACAGTGTTGTCGTGAAGCCTTAACATGATAATTAGCATGATTTGCAGTTCATTACCTTAATCACATAATTACAACATAGATATCAACATAAAAGAGTCACTAAGCGGTGCCATGGAATGATCCAGGCCACATTTCTCACAGTGCATGCCCACACGCCCGTCACTTGGCATTGCGTCATCTTAATAGTAGTCATAGAACACACAGTTCGGGGTTTCGAACCCTCAGAACCAAGTTTGGAAGCGTGCGACACCTTTTCCTCTCGATTCGGCCTCCAAATGTCCTGAATCTAACTAAAATCATAACCATAACATCAATATATGCTAAGGGAACAAAGCCCATGCAAAAATAATCAAATTACATCACAAATCTCGTAAATGCTCAAACCCGGCCCCGGGCCCACGTCTCGGAATCCAACCAAAGTTTCAAAATCCGACATCCCATTCAATTACGAGACTATCCATACTAGTTTCACTCAATTCCGACTTCGAATCGGCTTTCAAATCCAAAAACTTTATTTTTATGAAGTTTTACAATTTCCCCCAAATTTTCATCCCAAATCTCTACTCAAATGATGAACCCAATGTTATAATCATGTATTTTAGCCAAAATTAAGTTAGAATCACTTACCCCGATGATTTTCTTGAAAATCCCTCGAAATATCGCCAAAGCCTGAACTCTCTAGGTCAAAATATGAAATAAAACCCCAAATCTCTTATTTATAGTGCACCTATCAGATTCCCGTCACCGCTGACCGCGGTAAAACCACCGCTGCCACGCTTCTGGTGGCTGCACAGACAGACCTTAGTATATTGGCCATAACTTTCTCTACAGATGTCCAAATTATGATTTCTTTACCTTTATGGAAACTAGACACTAAGGGCTACAACTTTAGTTTTTGAATCATCACAAACTTTCTGGTAGATCAAAAGGTATAGGCTTCCGAAGTTGGACCAGCGGCCCTGCGGATTCTTCATGACCGCGGCCGCGGACCATTTTCCACCCCAGCGGTAAAACCACCACCCCCAACGTAAAACTTCCACCCCAGCTGTAAATTTAAGCACCATAACCATTGCTTGAGTTCTGGTAATGCCCGGACTCGCTCAAAACTCACCCGAAACACACTCGAGGCCCTTGGGACCTCAACCCAAACATACCAATACCTCCCATAACATTATTAAAATTTAGTCGAGCCTTCGAATCACTCAAAACAACACCAAAACACCAAATCAACTTCGGATTCAAGTTTAAGAGCTTAGGAACTTTCAAATTCCACAAACGATGCCGAAACCTACCAATTCAACTCCGAATGACCTGAAATTTTGCACACGTTACAAATAACATTATGGACCTACTCCAATCTCCGAAATTCCATTCTGACCCCGATATCAAAATTTCCACTACCAACTGGAAAACGCCAAAATTTCAATTTCATTAATTCAAGCCTAAATCTATCACGGTCCTCCAAATTACGTTCCGAACACGCTCCTAAGTCCCAAATCACCCAACGGAGCTAATCCAATCATAAAAATTTAAATCCGAGATCGAATACTAAAAAGTCAAAACTTGGTCAAACCTTTCAAATTTATAGCTTCAAGCTGAGAATCATTCTTCCATACTTGTTCCGATTAATCTGAAAACCAAAACTGACAATTTACATAAGTCATAATACGTCATACGAGGCTAGCCATGACCGAGAATTGGCGAGTGAAGTGCAAATGCTCAAAACGACCGGCCAGGTCGTTACATCCTCCCCCATTTAAACATACGTTCGTCCTCGACGTTCCTAGAGTTGTTCCGAAAACCATCAAATCACTGTGTAACCTTACCATGCACATACCCGGGGGTGATCCCATGTCACTTTATCTCATATAGGTCCGATAACACAATGTAACTGAAATTTCACAATCCAACCTAGCCCATCAACCTTAGAACCACATATTTACTTCTGAAATCATCCATAAGATCAGAATCTCACATCTATACTCTGAATAAGCCCGAACAAACTGTAACAAGCCATACCTATAACCTCAGATGCAATTTCATGATATACCACATAGCTCAAACTCTCGTAGCGATAACTTTTGATTACAACAGTTGCTCAGAACAACCGAATATCGATAATAAACCTCTTATCAAATAAAGCCTCATTCCAACACTTCTGTATACTGCCAATGATAAATGAAACACGTAGAAAGTCATAACCATTCTTCAGATCAACCATTCGTGAAGCCACTTCTCCTTTGGCAAGGACCATATCAAATTTCTGAGCCGAACATCGATATTATCCTTCCAACGCACCTAAACCAAATCCATTTGTATTCATTTTAGATTCCAACAATCTCATATAATCCAACACAAATACTCTGGTTACATGGCACATCAATACAATCTAAAGCCACAACTCGTGCAATGACTCAAATGAGATAGCTGTACCGCAAGCGCACCAGTACCACCACACACAATACTGAGAACCCATCACACATCACAGAAACAGAACACTTAAATTTAACCCGAAGGGTCATACCTCCACATAACTTCGCTGCAATGCGTGACCCTATCCAAACACTGGTTCACATGAAACACCTCAAGTCACTATGCTCAAAATTGACAACCACGCACAATTTGATATTTAAAACCAAAGCAAATCATCATAACCATGATGAAGCAATTGACATAACATTACACAAACCCTAAAGGACACAACCGATACGCCATCCACCGAGCAATACCCGATACTCTTTCCGCTCGAATTCCACTGAGATACCCTAATAAAACCACACTATATGTGCCTATAACCAACAAATCCTAATGCCTCGCAACACGGAAAGGTAACTCATAGATCTC